CAAGTTCATGTAATGTCATTCAAAAGCATTAGTTTGGTAGGGGAGGGGGGGGGTGTTAGTTTCCAAGTTTTCGGTTTTAATTTTTTTCGCTGTCAGAGAGTATAGGCGAAAGGGTACCACTCTCTGTAGCGTAGTATTTTCTAAACCATGTACAGGGGCTTTTTTAAGTTCTCCAAGTCAGGCAACAATTGTATGTAATTTTAACGGTGTTTTGCAAGGTTAGCACATTGACATATGCTAATTTTTGCAAAAATGTATTGGTTGATCTCATGTAAAGCTTTTCAAACGTACGTCCTCGTGCCGGGCTTCTTATTCATTTGCTATATTTAGCTTCCTCTAACCCCACCTTTTTAACTGATTGTCCAGAAATCAGTCGAGGTATCGATGAATTATTTGAGAGATGGAGAGAGTGAAATGCTGTTGTGGTTTGATATAGCAGCGTGTAAGCGAAAACACTTCTGAGTCTCCTCTCTCACACCTTAAAGGCAAATCCGCTTCATATCTCATTTAGGTGATAACTAGCATCTGATTTAATGATCGCGGCTTTACTCAAAAGGGAACCCATACTAATAATTTAAAGTATACGAGGAGAGGAAAAACTTTGTAAAGGTAAGAGTATAATGATTAAAGAAATTGACAACTTTTGTGGTTTTTTTATTAACAACCAGGTCTTGCAGTTTCATTATTTCCACGTGATATTGGATTCTGAAACAAGATGTAACCGAGATGGAAGCGTCAATTTAACCACAGTAAGATTTTCCTTGAGCGCCTCAGCTGTAAAATGACAAATCACTGGCTAGCGTTCTGAGCTGCGATCGAAATATTTAAACAGTTGATTATGTTAAAAATAGCCCGGAAACACTTACTCTCACGGATATAAAAAAGGTGATTTTCGTCAGGGAATATTCCAAGCAAACTGAGGAAAGGAGCTGGTTGACTATCTTGTCAAAGCTGTCCAGAGAAAAGTGAAAACATGGGATTCACTTTGGGTTTAAAGGTAAACTCAAAAAATTACTCCATCTTTATCAAATAGCATAAGGGTTCAGGCCCGATACCGAAGAGTTATAACTTGCGCTGTCATTTTTTTTTATTCAATAGCGAAAGATTTTGCAATGATTAAGTTATTTTAAACCTACACGAATTTTCACCGATTGATTGGAAAAAGGGGTGGTAACATTTCAGGAAAATCATTTCATGAGCAGCTGTGCTTTTCAATTTGTTAACACGGTGTTTAAGTTGAACAAATCATTTGCCTCTTTCGTAACAGACATTCTTGGTCCTTGTTGTTGCTGTTTTTAATGTGAACCAAGCTCTTGGAAAACCGCACAACCCACAAGAATTGGCTGACGGAACAGACTACAGATTCCCGAACGCAAACATCACGACAAACCAACACGTGGAAAAAGCCGCTCTCAGACAAAATGGCGACAGTATGGAAGGCCTAGAGTTCCTGCGAAATTTCTGCTCTGATGAAAAAGTCCAGAAGATGCAGTCACCTTGCGAGGCTGGATGGTATCTGTGCTATGGGTATTTTGAAATTCTTTGCAATAACTTCAGCCTTGCTTGTTTTCGTGGCTCGGATAAGTATGGCCCTCCTCTGTGTGTTCCGCGATATAGTTGGGTGACAATTAATTTGGGCACTGAAGGAATAAGACGTGTGAGAAGAACCATTGCCTGCAGCTGTGCATAAGATAACAGAGGATGGTCAACTAAGTTTGACGCTTGATAATTAATGCGATTCCTGAGTACGTATGATTTAAGTAAATTAGTTTAATATTTTGGTAACACTCTTAAATAAGTTTTTTTGAAATAATTAGATATCTGAAATTGACATTAAGAATTGGAAATAAAATGTGAACACTATCCAAAGAGGCACGAGACTGGTTTTAGTGGCGTAGAGCTAAGGTTATTCTTTGCCGAGCCAAATTACACGTTTTCGAAACTTTCGCGTTATATTCCGGCATAACAGACTCATCACTAGTTCATACTTGAGGATGAAAGTTATGAGGGTCTAAAAATCAAAGAGTCCGAGCTAATATTCTTGCATGCTGATAAAACATGGTGTCCATTTTCTGTTCCCTAAAAAACGTCCCCGCTCCACGGTACATAAACCGGGTGAAGTTACAGCTGAATGGATCATTAGGCTCAAGTTTACACTTTATGTTCTACCTTTGTTTCTGAGGTAATGTAGTAGAAGATATATGTGTATATATATATCTTTCTTGAACTGCGTAAATGTTAGTTCAGTGGCACAATGCACTCAGAAAGGAACTTAACTGCGTATAACAAATCATACAAAACACAGCATGGGATAAACAATACTCACTAACCTCAAACCCAAACTGAGCTTTTCTGTTTTAATTTCCAAAGCAACAGTAGAACATGTGCTGTTTAGGAGAGAAATCGCAAAAATAGGGAAACAAATGATTGAGTTTGAATAAGTGAATTCTTACCAAGAAATCATGTTTTAACAAAAAGTCGAAAATTGTTTTTTGGTCTTGCTTTTTCCCAGAACTAAATGGGATATTATTACCATCTAATAAAAAAAAAACTCCGAGAACACCTTCGCGACGTAGAAAGAAGTGACAAGGCCGCATCCAAACCAATCGTTAGACACTATAATCACCCTAATCATTCTAAACAACGTATGGCAGTTTGTGGCCTTTCCCTACATCTAGGCAGTTCGGAAAGCCGCAAACCACTAGAACAAAGATTTATCTTCCAAATCAGCACTCTTAATCCCCACCGTATCAACGAGCGCTTTCCATTCAACTAATTTATTCCTTTTTTTCTCGTCACCATATTCCTACATTAGCATAACTCCATTTTCTGCATATAAACCCACACACAACCCACAATTCTTCCAATCGCTCTGACGAAGGGCCAACTCTCTCTATGGGCATTAACTCCTCAAATTTTCAAGGCTGATAATAGGACAGAAGTGTGCAACATACATGCATTTCAAAGCACCTACCTTATTGTTTTCGATTTGTGCGAACCTAAATCGTAACGTATCGTTAAGCGAAACTTTGTTTGCCAGGAGCACATGTTTACAATATTACTGACATAAATACGTTTTATTACCAGTTTTACTGTGCTTATCGAATCGCCATGTCTGAGTCTAGAATATCCCCTAATTTATGACATGTATTTTTTCAGTCCTCGATGGAGGCGTAGAACTCACCAAATTTTGATAAAAGCTCGTTTTGGGCCAATTTTGTTGTTCCTTTCGGTTGAAATGCATTTGGCAAAAAAATAGAGAATTGTTTTAGATTTGTTGGATTCCATCGTTGTTTTCAGTGAACCCAGAACGCGTCTACCCAGAGTTCCAATGCGGCTTTCGAGCAGAACGTTCTACAATGGACATGATCTTCTCCCTTCGCCAACTACAGGAGAAGTGTAGGAAACAGTAGAAGTCCCTCTACATCGCCTTGATAGATCTGACCAAGGCCTTCGACCTTAGTGAGCCGGGACGGGCTCTTCGACATCCTCCTGAAGATCGGATGTCTCCCGAAGCTTACAGCATGAACAGATCGTTTTATGATGGCATTAAGACAACCATCCAGTACGAAGGCAGCATTTTCAAACCTTTCGATATCAAAAGCGGTGTGAAGCAAGGCTGTGTCCTTGCTCCAACCCTCTTCGGCATCCTCTTCCCCCCCTCCTTCTGAAATATGCTTTTGGGAATTCAACCGGTGGTGTGGACATGCACACAAGATCCGATGGCAGACTATACAACGTCACCAGGCTAAGAGCAAAAATCAAGGTGCGTAAGACCATACTCTTCGCCGATGACGCAGTAGTCACCTCACACATTGAGCAAGATCTACGGTGTCTGATGAAGAGATTCTCTCAGGCTTGCTATCAGCCCGAAGAAGACCAACTTGCTGGGCCAAGACGTGAACACACCAACTGTCATCACCATCAGCAACTACAAACTTAAAGTGGTACACCAGTTCACCTACCATGGTTCCACCATCAGCGACAACTTTTCCTTAGATGCCGAAATCAACAAACGCATCGGCATGGTCGCAACAACCTCACTCGCGTCTGGGAGAACCCCAAGCTGACCACTCCGACGAAGATGGCTGTGTACAACGCATGTATAGGTAGCATCCTCCTGTACGGGAGTGAAACCTGGACAACCTATGCCAAGCAAGAGCAGAAGCTGAACAGTTTCCACATGCAATGTTTTCGCCGCATCCTTGGCATCAGCTGCGGGGGGAGACAAAGCGCCCAACGCTCAGGTTCTTACGCGTGCCGGCCTCCCCAACGCAGACTTCACTGGCTTGGTCGGATCCTCAAGGACATTTTCCGTGGTCAACATGCTTAGGGCGAAAGGCCATCAAGGTCGCCCCCAGCAGAGAAATATATATTGCTTACTTTCTTAACATTTTTATATTCTAAATTTATCATGTGGCATTAAGCCATTTGCTATTTTAGGTACATAATTCCTACTGAAAGTTAGTCGACAGCGTATTTGTGGCTTCTGTTATCGACTAGTTGAAGAAAGACTGTTACATTCCTTTATTCATCACGCCATGAGTGAATTTCTGCAACATCTAGTGAATGAGAGGATGCAGAATTTCTGCAACATCCAGTGTATGAGTGGTCTCAGGAGTTCCATGAAATCCAGTCTATGACTTGTTGTGTCGAAAAATAAACGTGAAAGCTGTACCACGCTTCCTTATTGTGGCACAGTTTGCTTACTTGATTTAACAATTCTACCACAACGTTAACGCTTCGGTAAACTCCCACTTACAGCTCTCAGCTTATTCGAAAAGAACACACAAAAACGTCCCGTTGTAAGCGCATGAAACAATGCCATACTCAGTGGGGCGATAAAACACGTGCCGCATAAATGTTTTTCGGTGATGTGTAGATAGACCAAATCACTTTTAAATGTCAATCAAATTAAGAATAATTAACATGTCGTACAGTTGCCAACAGAATTTCCGCGACATCCAGTGTATGAATGGTTGCAGAATTTATGCGACACGCAGTATGTGAATAGTTGCAGACTGCAACATCCAATGTATGCAAAATGTCCGCAACATCTAGGGTATAAGAAGTTGCAGAATTTCTACAGCATCCAGTGACAGACTGTTTCCGGATTAGACGGATCACCTCTGCATCTTTTCATGGTTGGCTATTAACACATGGTTTCTTACGGACATGCTAAATCTTGCAGAGGAAATTATAAATTTCCAATTCATTATAAATTTTGTCTGCAAAATTTGGCTATTTTAAAGTGATTATTAAAACATGCAGAAAAAAACCATAGATTTATCCAAAAATGTGCTATTTTGGAAAACACAAAATAGTTTTTAGAGCGTTGTTTTAAATTTTTTAGAGAGATCAATTACGATTTTTACATTTAGACGAACATCCATGTAAGGCCAATGTACTTTCATCTCAATAGAAATGATAATCTTTGAAGATAATGCAGCAATAGTTGCTTTCTCCTAATATAAATTTACGAGGAAAAAAATATCTGCTGAATGTTGTTTAATATATGTTCTCAGGGTAATGGGACGAGTGTGCGGATGTTTGTGCTTCTTCTTCGATATGCTCCCTGCTAAGACATCTTCGTAAATGTAGGTTTGCTTAAACCATAACTATTGGGCACACTCTCCGAATTTGCACCTTTTTAGTTGATTATTTCGTGATACATTACATTGCAAGCGCCAACCTGTTAAAATGAAAAATGGATTATGGATGCTACATCATTGGATAAAAGTAATCTTGTACTCGAAGTTTAACGGCGAAAGTCTAAGTGTTGCTCTACAAGAGCTCTGATCACGGACACCCACACGTAACCAAAGGGATAGTTACCTTTTTTCCGCCAATCGTTTGACATCGAGGCTGAGGATCCATACGGAAACAGAGTTGTGTGACATACGACACCTTCAGGGCATAGACACCCTTCAGCGTAAGCACTGGATCACTGGATGCAGGCATGTAACGATAACGTCTAGTAAGCAATTTTAGTAATACGAATGATAACTAACTTGACCGTTTCATATCTTAACAACTTTACGACCCAGATCTATCAGAATGCAAACATTTTTTAACTAATTTTTGTCTGGTTGAGACGTTAGTATAACCTGCAGTTGATGAATTAAAAAATTCCAAATGTATGGTACACCTACATGTAACATTACCTGAAGGAAAACTAAATCAATAATTTTTTAAAGTAGGAATTTCCCCACCTTCTTCGACTGTATCTTAAACTTTTATAAATCGGCTGAAATTCATACATTCGAATTCCGAATTTATGATCCATATACATGTAACATTAAATGAAGGAAAACTAAAACAAATTTTTTTTAAAAGTAGAAACTCCCCCACCTTCTTGGACTGTATCTAAAACTCGGCTGGCAGAACTCATCAGTGATCTTTGGGCTAATAATGGCATTTTTTTAATAGTTACCACCTCTTCGATGGATATAAAAGATTGCAAATCTTTGTTATGGTACACCTACATGTAACATTACCTGAAGGAAAACTAAATCAATTTTTTTTTAAAGTAGGAATTTCCCCACCTTCTTCGACTGTATCTTAAACTTTTATAAATCGGCTGAAATTCATATATTCGAATTCCGAATTTATGATCCATATACATGTAACATTAAATGAAGGAAACTAAAACAATTTTTTTTTTAGAAGTAGAAACTCCCCCACCTTCTT